GATGTTGACCACAGAGTTGCACTGGAAGAGCTGAAGATTCCTAGAGAGGTCTTCTCTTAGGTAAAAAGAATAGTGTTGGGGTTGTTGTTGTTGTTTTTGCAGGTTTTCTATATTCACGGGGGTTCTTCACCCCTAACCCCAGTGACTCTGGAGAGATAACTGTATTTCAGACTTCCAAATTACAGATACGTGACTCAACCTATAGAGCAGGGCCCCCTGGACTTTTTGATCCGGGGGCCGGTTCGCTGGTCTCCAGATCTTCCAGGGGGCTGGATGCGAGTTTGGCGGCGGGCGCGAGTGCTGCGAGTAGCGGCAGTGGGACAAGTGGCAGCAGCGGTGGGCTGAGCCGGTAGGAAGGCCTCGGCGGGCCGGGTCCGGCCTGTGGGCCATAGTTTGGGGACCCCTGCTACAGAGTGATATTAAAGCATCAGATTATTAAGCATATTTATACAGTTATGAGAATGGGATAGGATGTAATAGGATCCAGAAAGACAGAAGGAAGGGAGAATCACAATTTGCATCTTTATGGATCCTATTATAAAATAAAAATCAGTTCCTCTTAAAAGTGCTGCTCTCTCCCTTCTTTTTATGCTGCAACAGACTAACACAACTACAGTCGGACATCCACACTTGCGGCTTTGACTTTTGCGGATTTGATTATTTACAGATTTGATTAACATGTTCCCTCTAGGAATTTGGGTCCTCCAGCATGCCTCTGCTAGAAGTCATGCTGGAGATTCCTGGGGGGGGGGAACCCTACTCTAGGGATTTGTAAGTCCTCCAGCATCATTCTGATTAACTTCTGGCAGATGTTGACCATAGAGCTGTGCTGGAGGGCCTAGAGATTCTTAGAGGTAAAAAATAGTGAGTGTTTTTTATTTGCGATTTTCCCACTTTCACGGGGGTCCTGTGCCCCTAATCCCAGCAAATGTGGAGGGCTCACTGTACTTCTTTGAAATCTTGTACCAAAGCTAACACACACTTTCCTGTGCCATAATCAAGTAATGCCTTGAACACTTGGGACATGCATGCCAGCCACCGTGCCACACACATAGGGAAGATAACTGCCGCTTGCAAGAGCCTCTATTACCTAATCGACATTTTTTCTTTCATGGCTTCCTTTGCAGAAGGAATACAACCACATTAACCTTCCAGCAGCAGCAGCAGCAGCAACTACTGTAGCTGATTAAATGCATTCCTTCTGGCTCCTTCTCGCTATGCCGTCATTGTTGTACTTGGCTGGGATTGCAAAGTTGTATTTGCTCGGCTAAAAGAAGGATCTGGGAGACATCTAATCTGTGCCCTCTAATTAAATATAGACATTATATGTCAGAGTGAGAAAGGAAAAAACAAAAGACTTGTCAGCTTGGCCCTTACTTAAATGACTAAGGGGGACATTTGCTTCCATAAAGGCGCAGGATGACACCTGTAAGACGACAGCCCTTCCTTGCATCTTGTACAGGATTTCCTTCCTTCTGATCTCCTACCATTTTGCCAAGAGCGCCAATGACTTTTATGGGCTTGCTTCTGATTTACTGCCGCTGTACGTGAGAGGAAAGATGCCACGGCCCCAAGATGGCTTTTTGGTAGGATGAAGCACAGAGAGTGCCCAATGTCAATTTCTCTCTCTGTGTAGTATATTAATAATAATAATAATAATAATGCAGCTCAGCAAATATTTATCCCTGGGATTGAAACAACAGCTGTACCGTACTCTTAAAGTTTAAGAGGAAAATGAGAGAAGGCAAAAATCCACACCGCAAAGCCCTCTCCCTCAATTTCCCTGCAGCAAATCTGTGCATCCAATCCTGCCCACTTGCTTGCCCCAATAAAATAAGCCTCTATTTTGGGGTGGTATGGGGATAATGGGAGCCAGTATAGTGTACTGGTTTAAGTACTGGACTATGACTCTGCAGACCAGGGTTTGATTCTCATCTTGGCCACCGAAACCTACTAGGTGACCTTGGGCAAGTCACTTTCTCTCAGACTCGATGGATAGCAATGGCAAACCCCCTCTGAAGAAACTTGCCAAGAAAACCCTGTGATAAGCTTGCCTTATCGGTCGCCGTAAGACAGAAATGACTTGAGACACACAACAAAAATAGCGACAACAAAGGGATAATGGGAGCCAGCTTGGCTAGTGGTTTGAGCACTGGACTATGACTCTGGAAACCAGGGTTCAATCCCCAGCTCGGACATGAAACCCCCTAGGTGACCAAGTCACACTCTCTCAGCCTCAAGGAAAGACAATGGCAAAACATTTCTGAACAAATCTTGCCAAGAAAACCCCATGATAGGATAGGCTCAGCTCGCCTTGAGTTTGACACGTGAAGACACACAACATACGATACAAGGGGACAATCTGTATGGAAGAAAACAAAGTGTGTGTGGGGTGGATGCAGTTTAGGGGAAGAAAGTGAGCCATCCTGGCATAGTGGTTGGAGCGCTGGACTAGGGCTCTGGAGACTAGGGTTTGACAGGGCAAGTCACACTCTCTCAGCCTCAGGAGAAGGCAACGACTCCGAACGAACCTTACCAAGAAAACTCAACGATAGGTTGGCCTTAGGAAACAACCTAAAGGCACACCACACAAAGGGGGAGAAAAGAGCCAGGGTAAAAAAAGGGAATGTGGCAGAGAAAGAGGAGGAGAAAAGGAGCTGGAAAGGAAAGATGAGAGAGAGAGAGAGAGAAAGGGTTGTTTTTCTTGGCAAGACTTCTTCAGAGGGGGGCCTGCCCTGGGTTTCCCCTGAGGCTGAGAGAGTGTGACTAGCCCAAGGTCCACGTCTAGGTAGGGAGGGAGGGGGGAAGACCCAAAACACACTGCCGAAAGAATCCAGTTTGAGACCGCTCTAACTAACTGCCCTGGCTCAAATGTGAGGGAATTGTGGAAAGTGTCGTTTCTGTGAGACATTTCGCCTTCTCTTCTTGTCAAGGGGGCCACAATACACTGCCATCCCGAGATTGCTTCAATAGATTTTAAACATTTCCCTCTTCTTTTTAATTCTGTTATAATGTCCAGGGGTCGGTTGGCCATTGAGCACCTTCAAAGGAAAACCCCACCAAACCGGGAGCCAAGCGCAGTCTATCCACCAGAGACTTGGGGCAAGCAAGCTTTCGAGGCTCCAGGGGCTTCTTCTTCTTCTCCTGAATGGCTTGTGCCTGGTCTTTACTGGGATTGGGGTTTTTCCCTTCCTTCCTCCAATGTTGTAAGCCGCCCAGAGACACTCCCAGAAATAAAGATAAGAAATACAAGAAAGGCAATCAATCAATATATCAATCAATCAATCACTTCTTTCTGCCCAGTGTTTGGGACCGAAAATGGATTCAGGAGAATGAGGCGCAAAGGAAAGGAAGCCAAACCCTGACTTCTTTTTCTTCTCCTCCTTTTTCTTCTTTTGTCCCCTTCAGCCTTTCTCTTTCCCTTCTCCCTTCCCTTCTTTTTTTCTTTAAATATACATTTTGATTGTTCCTCCCTTCTCCCTTCCTGAGGCACTCACCATCCCGACGTCTCCAGAGAAAAGCCCCTTGAGGGTCCTTTCCGCTCAGCCGCCAAAGCCCAGGCTCAAGCCCGCATCCCGAGCCACGGAGGGAAAGAGAGGAGCCCTAGAGCCGCCTCTTCTTCTTCATCCTCCTCCTCTTCCTCGGGGCCGCCTCCAGCCGCATCGCCGCCTCAGGGCCCCCCCCGAGGGGGGCTTCCGGGGGGCGGCGTCCCCAAATGGAGGCAGCCGAAGGAGGGCTCCGCCGCCCACCCGCTCGCCTCCCGAGCGCAAAAGCAAAAGCCCAGCAAAGCGCAGCCTCGCCTCCCGCCTCTCCGTCCCTCCATCCCGCCCAGGTAATCCCAAGGCGGGCCCTGATTGGGCGCTCGCCCGCGCGCATTTGCATATCCCTCTCGCCCTCCCAGGTAATCCCTAAAGCGGCCCCTGATTGGGCTCTCACTCGCCTGCATTTGCATATCAATCAATCTCGCCCTCCCAGGTAATCCCTAAAATGGCCCCTCGCTTGCCTGCATTTGCATATCAGTCAGTCTGCATATCAATCAATTTGCATATCAATCTCCATCCCGCCCAGGTAATCTCTAAAGGGGCCCCTGATTGGGCTCTCACTCATCTGTATTTGCATATTAATCAATCTCACCCTCCCAGGTAATCCCTAAGGCAGCCCCTGATTTGGCTCTCACTCACCTGTATTTGCATATTAATCAGTCTCG